GGACATCCCATCCCGCGCCATGAGGTGCAGGACTTTGAGGTGGTCCAGAGCTGCTGCTGCTTCTCCTCTGCTCCCACACCAGCAATGAGCAGTCTGGCAAGCCCTAGCCAGCCTTTGGACAGGTGTGGGCAAGCCATCAGCAGACATCACGGCTCACCACTTGGGCTTCTGCACTGCAGAATATGTCTGCTCGCTTGAGGTGAACCTCTGGCTAATGAGTTTAGGCGGGGAGCAGGAGGGGAGTTTGAGAGCTCGGTTTGAACTCTTTCTTTTCTCAAACCATAGGCCAGCTGGGAAACAGGCTGCTTAGCAATGCCCTTCTTCTTAGATTTGCAGTCCCTCCTCCTGCCACTGTCCTAAGTAAGAAACCATAGCTGTCCTTGCTTTGAATTTTGACATGGGCAGTTTGTCCTGGGGTGTTGAGCCTCCTCACATCTTCTGTATCTCCTGTTTTGCCAGGAGTTGACATAGACGGCTTTAGCATGGCGCAGTTAATACATGTGTATCATCTCTATTTAAGTTAGCTCCAGTGCCTATGACACTGAAGAAGCCACTTTTGAGTTCAAATCATTTTGAAGCAGCAATGAAGCTCTACTGCACTGTCTCCTCAAAGGACATGTTCCTTTGGATCAGGCATTATGCTGCATTCTCAGCACTTCAGTGACCGTTGTGTATCTCATTACAGCAAGGAGAGCATGTTGAGCTTCCTGAAGTGCATGTGTAACTTTTGATTACACCTTCTTCTTTGCAGACTGAGGTGAGGTGACTGCAGGAGCACAGGGCTTTGCTCTCCTCGAGAGCACATGCCGCATTTCTGTGGACTTGCTGCCATGTTTTTGTTATTGTTTAGCACAGGTTGGTTCTTTGGAAATGATTTATGAGCCGTGCTTGTAGTCAGGCCTGATTTTTCAGAAGCTGGAAAAATACTTATTAAGATTTCATAGCAGAGCTATCATCTGTGATTTCTCAGTGACAAATGGGCCTACAGTGCTTGCTTTAACAGATGCTCTGAGATTGAAATGTCCCCCATAAGGCAAATGTAGTAAAAGGATAGATGTATATGTCATAGCTCCGCCTATGTATAGAGACATAGCAAACATAGAAGCTTAAGCAATGCAATACCTCAAATAGGTGATAGGTGATAAACCCACTCATGGCAGGAAAGGTGATATATTAGTAGTCAGTTACCTCCCTCCTCTCTCTTTTTTCCAGAAGATATTTTCTCAGCCTTTCCTCATAGGATTGATGCTCCAGTCCCTTAATGTTTCCTGGACTTTCCAGTATGCCGTGTCTCTCTTCTACTGAGGAGCCCAGAACTGAGCACAGCACTCCAGGTGTGGCCTCACCAATGCTGTGTAACATTCAGGTAAAAAGCTTGCTCTTTTGCAGGTGGGATGCATTAATTTCAGATTGTTCAGGATGACAGTGCAACATTTCCCATATTGCTGCCTCTGATGAGTTGGTCATATGATGTAGTACAGAAACAGTCATCTGAGGCAATGGAAGCTTCTGCTTCCTTCTGTTAGAGCATACAGTAGTAGGGACGTATATAGCATCGGCAGTTCACTCTGGTTACTTTCCTGGTTCACACATCATGCTTGTCAGTGCAATTCTTGTGACCAATGGCCATGTTTGACATAATGGCAACTATCCTTGACATCACACTTTCCGGAGTGTGTCCCTCAAGCCCTCAAATGACCAGAGACTGACGTCACAGAATCACAGAATCACAGAATGGTTTAGGTTGGAAAGGACCCTAAGATCATCTAGTTCCAACCCTCCCTGCAAACAGATCTCTTCTTCCTCATATGGACTACTACAATGTGAGTAAGTTGAATACGCCATACATGTGCTTTTTCTAATAATACTTGAAGTTAAATTTTTCATTTTAAAAATCAGAAAGCAAAGAAAGATCAAGTGGTTTACCCCAGAAATCAAGTGGTTTACCCCAGAAGTTTACCGTGAAGTGTTTTCCAAGCTCTGTATCATACAATGTATTTCTGTGAGAAGCAGCCCTGTTACATTACGGCTTTGACTTTGCCATCAGTGCTGCAAGGTTCTTGTGCTTTTGCACAGGGAACAGCACAGGCAACAAGCACAATAAATGTGCGCGTTTCTCTGCTTTGTGAGTTGCCTGGCTATTGGTTAAGTTGTGCTGCACCAGAACCACTCTGGACTTAAAAACCTCTCTGTGCCTTTCTACATATGCCTATGCGTATATTTATATACATATAGAGGTACTTGCTCCTTTCTTCATGCCATGCTTCCCTCCAAAATGTTTGGGCAAGGTCACAGGGATCTCTTCCCATAGAGAACCATAAACTTGGAATGATTCAGGTTGTAAGGGACATGTCATTTAGCAGCAGTTTGCTGTTTTAAGGTGGATTTTATAAAGCAAGTCAATAGAATTTATGACAATTACTATAACAATCTATGCAGACATACGCACACATACATACATGAAGACATATATGTCTATATGAAGAGGAATACCTGTGAAAAATTCCACACAAGTTGGTGAAGTATTCAAGTCCAATGTCTCTGCATTTCTTCACAGGTAGTAGTCAAATCTCTAGGAGTGGGGGACTTCAGCCCAGGGTCTGTCTTTTGGCAATAGTCCTCCAATTACAGCAAACTTGGGAGTTTGCAAACTCTGAGGGGCATCCCACTCAGAGGGACATGCTGGTCACAGCCTGCTGTGGTTGAGGAGAGTTCAGAGGGTCTCACTTAGGAACACTGTTTGCAGGATTGCAAGATAATTGGCTTTAGTCATCAGTAAATTTCCATCCTGGCCACAGCCTGAGTTGGAACTACTAGCAACTTTTCAAAACTGCAGTAACAATTGTACCATTCCACTTGGGCTATGATCAAAAGGAGTGTTCTAAGGCTGTCAGGGGATAAGTGATTATCCCCTCTCTTGCTCCCCCTCCTTAGTCATGGAACAGGAGTCTGAGGTATGATCAGTGCCTCCCTCCTTAACCATGCAAGAGTTCCTGGTGTGGTCAAGGGGTGCTTCACCACCCAACTCATTACACAAAGGCCAAGATCTGATGGGAATTCCTGAGATCACGGAGCAGCCCAGAGGATGGGGGAGGGAGGATGCACTACCACAGCCTAATGGGTGATATCAGCAGTGCATTTGTCACATTGGAGAGAAGGGCCACTATTCAGAGGGATAAGCAGCTTAAGAGAATCTTCATCAATTTCAACTATGGTGAATGCAAGGCCTTGCACCTGGAATGGAATAGCCCCCTGCACCAGTTCTGCATGTGAAACAGACTAAGCCCACAATGTTATGAGCTGGGAACAGCTTGGATATAAAGAATCAGGGAGTCCTGTGGTCAGTGGACTGAGCACAAGTTCACCACACATGCTGGCAGCAGTGAAGGCTAACAGTCAGGTGGACTGTATCTGCAGGAGCATAGCCCATAGATTGAGGGAAGTGAATCTTCACCTTTACTCACTACATCACACTGGTGGTACAACCAGTACACTGCACTTCACTCATTACACCACATCTGGAACCCTGGTCCAGTTCCGGGCCTGACAATATAAGAACAATATAGATAAATTTGACTAAGATCAGCAGAAGGCCATCAAGATGCTTGGTGTCTGGAGCACCAGAGCAGTGAGACAAGGCTGAGGGAACTGGGCTTGTTCAGCCTGGAGAAGAGATGGTTTCAGCAGGACCTCATAGTCCATGGATACTTCATACACTGGAGAATGCAAGCAGTGCTGGAAGGGACATCTCACGATGAATGATAATCAGGTATAAAAGGGAGAAACAATGCAAGGACACTGTTCCCATATTAAGAGATTATAAATGAAGTTTTCTTCAATGTCTCTGGAAAAAAGTTTGTATTTTCTAACTGGGGTAAAACAAAGGCAGGTGTTATGATTAGGAAAATTTAAACCAGGAGAGTGGGTGAGGGACAGAAAATCAAAATAAGACAAAAACACACCTTAGGCTTTGTTTTTTAAACTTTTTTACTATTGTTGTTTATTTGGGCTTTCATAAAATGTGGTTAATTAATAAAGAAAAACAGTTGCTTTACTGTATGCTTTACAACTGATAAATTTTTAAGATTTTTGCATACATAAGGAAAATAATGTTTAATTTTTTGAGAAGAAACCTTTGAATTTCACAACATTTAGACGTCTTTCAGAAAGATGTCTATATATTTATACACATTTGATAGTATTCAAAAAAGAATAATACATTAAGAATACAATAATGACAAAAAGAGTGATAATCTTATACTCTTTTACATGTATATTCATCATTTAGAGATGCAAACAGACCATTTCCATCAAGACTTTAATATGGCTTTGTTGTGGTTTAGACCCAGTTGGTAACTCCACCATGCAGCCACTCACCCCTACTCCACTCCTCCCCAGGTGGCATGGGAAGAAGAATTAGAAGAATGTAGACCCCCCATGTTGAGATAAGAACAGTTTAATAACTAAAGTACAATATACTACTAATAATAATAATAATGATAAGGGAAATAACATGGCAGAGAGAATATAAAACTAAATGGGGAAAGGAAAAACAAACAATAAACACAAGTGATGCACAATACAATTACTCACCACCCACCCACCGATACCCAGCCCAACCTGAGCAGCAATCTGGGCATTCTGGGTAACTCCTCACAGTTTCTATACTGGGCATAACGTGCTGTGGTATGGAATACCCCTTTGGCTAGTTTGGGTCAGGTGTCCTGTCTCTGCCTCCTCCTGGCTTCCCATGCCCCTCCTCACTGTCAGAGTATGAGACTGAAAAGTATTTGATCACGGTAAGCACTACTTACAACTAAACCATTGGTGTGTTATCAGCATTATTGTCAGACTAAAGCCAAAATGCAGTGCTGCACCAGCTACTAGGAAGAAAAGTAACTCTGTCCCAGCCAAACCAGGACAGGTTTAAAAATGCAATGTGTGTTGAACATTGAATGTAGCTGTGGGGTTTTCTGGGTTGATGCAGAAGAGCTCACCAGATATTCTACCTGGTCTGCAATGACTCATTCTTAGGTACTATGAAGGGGCCAGGTATCTTCAAAGCTACACAATTTCTGAATGAGAAGACTCTTATAGCCAGCTTCCATTTTCTGTACTTTCAACTGCAGGGTGTTTTTTCTTAACTATTCCTCTTGCCTTGCTTGTTTCTTCTAAAACTACTACTAAATTTGACAGAGTTGTGTGAGGATCAAGCAGTTTCAGAAGAGGTATGTTCACCTTTCTCTCTTGAAAGACACGGTTCTGAATTGTCATAGCTAACATAGAGTCTATGCCCAATGATGAAAGTGCTGTATTCATGGTTAGGTCATCTGGGTTCAAGTTGGTGAGTTCAGTCACCAGTGAGATGATATAGTCTTCAGGTTTGATTGAGGCGGCATCCTGGACTTGAGTTTTCTCAGAGATTTCAGGCTTGTTCTTGTATTCTTCTGATAAAAATGATTGGAAGCGATTTTTGAGTGAAATAATCTGAGAAAAAACATGATGTAATAAAATTTGATAGTTTAATTTGGCTACAATTTGCTGCGGATTATTCATAAGTAAGCTCCTCCTGAGATACTCATGAATTTCATGCACTTGCAGAATGTCTATGCCCTTGGATTCCAGAACGGACTGAAGATGGTTTTGATTGAGCAATATGCCAAGGTTCAAAGCACCCCAGTTAATGGATTGGCCAGAAAGCCCACAGTTCCTCCTGTAGAGGCAGAAGATATCCAAGAAAGAGTTTGCAGCTGCATAGTTTGTCTGGGTGGAATTTCCCAGAAAGGAAGTTACAGAGGAATAGCACACAAAGTAATCAAGCTCCTGGCCTCTGGTAGCCCAATGAAGATTTAGGGTCCCTGCTACTTTTGGACTCAGCACTTTCTGAAAGTCAGCCAACTTCAGAACTTCAAGATAGCCGTCATGTAAAACAACAGCACTTTGAAATACACCTTTGATTGGACTCCCCGCAAAGATGTTTGCAACGGACTGGAAAGCTTTCTCAACATCATTGGTTGAAGTAACATCACACTGCACAAACAGTATTTTGCTCTTATACTGCTCCTGCAAAGCTTTAATCTCTTCTTGCTTCTCCTTGCTTGGCATTTTCCTGGAGAATATTGCAATAAACCCTCCTCCATTCTTGGCTATGAATTTCACTGTTTCAAAGCCAAGTCCAGTGAGCCCCCCAGCTACTACATAAACAGCATTCTGCTTAAACAGCTTCTGGGATCCATACAGTGGTATATCTGAAAGCATAGTGACGTCCTTCTGTTTTCTCAGTACAGCAAGTGGGACAGATTTGCAGGTAAAATATGACATCACAGAGTTTATGCTTTCAAACTGCTCAGTCTGCTGAAAAACATAGCCTGACAGATGTCTAAACTTTTTCATATCCATGGAATTGATCCATGCGCGCAGAGCCTTTTGCAATTCCTTTAGAGATGCTTTCTGGAAAATACTGGTAAGTGTAAGGATATGAAAGCTGATATTTTCATGATCCATTTCATTGGCATTCTGGATACACTCAGACTGTCGATGGCCACACACTACCACCACATCTTTAAGAAAACACATGTGGGCCAGATCCTCCTGAGACAATCTGTTTACTGGAGGAAGAACAACAAGAGCATTGCATAAGCTTATATACCGGAATTTATCAGGAGTGGGCTTCGCAAGTACTGTTCTCCAACCCATCTCTTCTGCTGCAGCAGAAAGAACATGGCAAAAACCTGATGATGGCTCTGTAGATATAATGCCCAATGTTCTACCATATTTCCCCTTAGGTAATCTCTTATTGAAGATTTCCCATGCAATGATGAAGTATGACATACAAGGGACATTCTGGAAGCATGGGAATTTATTTACTTTGAAACAAACTGTTCCTGGAATCTGAACTCTGGATGACGCAGCAGATGGATAACATGAAACCACATGATCTCCCACTTTAACTTTCTTTACATCAACACCCGTTGCTGTGACTGTGCCACTGAAATCCAGAGCTAAAAGTCTGTGTTTGTCCACTACTTGTGAATTCCAGTACAGTGTCTTACCAAAATTATAACTGGAAACACTAATGGGAAAATAATCTTCTGAGTGGAGACATATTTTATCCAGTTGAATTTCAACGCTGTGTTTATCAAGTTGAGTAGCAATGCTGGTGGATAATTCAGCAGACAAGTCTTTTGCCGTGTACGGATCAGAAGTGTACAAAGTAAATATTTCTGAATTCTGGACAGATCTTACAGGTTGGCAGTAATCTGCATCTACAAAAGGTGTGCGTCTGATTTCAGCCATGTAAGTTCTTCCTTGGCTGATGCAAAGTTCTGAATACTCTACAGTTTTGTGTTTGACAAGAACATCTGCTAGCACTGAGATGTCCAGGGAACTGGCAGAACTGAGGTCAATCATCTGAAAAATGATTTCTGGAACTTCAAGGATACAAGTTCTAGTCATGCCATACAATGCAAACCCACAGTTAACATGGTCTACATATCTTTCAGTTGTTCTGTAGGTGATCACTCTGACTAAACAGCGTGACATTTTCTCTCTTAATGCCACAACAACTTGGCGATAGGCTTCACAACACTTTGATAATTGGTCTACCACTTTGCTTGGGAAACGTTCATTTAACTTTTGAATTCCCCACAGGAACAGAATTTCATCATAATTCTCAACCTCTGCTCTCATTTTATCCTGCGTATGGTCTTCCAGGAGGGCTTCCCAATCTTCATACATAATGTATCTTGAATCAGGATGCAAATATTTTTTGAGCTTCTCAGCTATCCCAAATTTGTCAGCAAACACTAGGACTCTGGGCATAGCCCCCCGATTTCCAGCTATCTGTGAAAGGGATATTTCTGTCCACTTGTTTTCAAGCATTAACTCATTATCTCTGGAAGATGCTTGCTTCATGAAAGTGATGGCAACACGCTTTAGTTCAGCCAAAATGGAGCCTTGTTTGTCCATAAAGCACCCACAGACCTCCAGGCAGTTCTCAGTGGATTTGCTTGTTCTCATATATATCATCATTTCTTCCTCCAGCGGTCGGAGCACCACCAGGCTGCCTATTTCTGAAGGAAAGCCTACTCTAGATGATGGGAAAGTCCTTGAAGTCATAACAGTGGTCATCTGAAGAAAACAGTCAAGCAGTACTGGATGGATACAGTAGCTGTACATATCTATGGCCGTCTCCTTGTTTACCTTTATGCTTGTTATAGCTTCCTTTAGTTCCTGGCAATAGTGCACATCACTGAGCTGCTTGAATATGGGGCCATACTGAAAGCCAGTTTGAGACAGTGCTTCATAAACCTCCTCTCTGCTTATCACCAACCTGCATCTTTGACAGATGTCTTGGAAGGAGATGGTCCTTTCTTCCACCACAGCTTCAGGCCCCTTTGTTACTTGGCCTGCAGCATAAATTACATTAGAGGGAGACAGTATCTCAAAGGCTGTCACTGCTTTTTGTGGACTCAGCTTGATGCTCAAGACTTGGGAGCTCTGCGTGAGAACACACGGTGCAGAAAAATTGATACTCATCTGACAAGAGCTGAGAGCCACTTTAGGCCTTGAGCTGCTCATCACAGAGGCCAGACCAAGCTCCACAAAAAAAGTACCAGGGACTAAAGCCACACCATTGTTCTTGTGCTCATATATGTACGATGCTGTGCCCTGAGACAGCAGGCAGCTAAACTCCATTTTGTCACTGTTTATGCTTTTAATCAAAGGATGACTGTCATTGACGTATCTTCCTGCATCTTGATTTAATTTCAGATACCTAATAAGTTTTTTGCGATCAAATTGATACCGTGGAATGTCCACTGGAGCACTTTGATACCCATTATAAAAGTGCTGCCAGTTGGGGTTATATCCCAGTTCAAACAGATTTCCTACCAGGGTGAGGAGTGTCTGATACTCTACATCATTTTGCAAAGAAGAGAACACCTTTGTGCTGTTTCCTAGAGTTTCCCTTATGTTCCGCTGCAATGCTCGGCGAGGACTTATTTCCACAAACACCACATTTTCCCTATCTCTGGCTGCAGTTCTGATGGCTTGAGTGAAAGCAACAGGCTCACGAATATGCCGGGCCCAGAATTTGCCCTGAGCAAAGTCATTTTCAGAAGCAGCCATCCCAGTCAGCGTTGAAATCACTTCAATTTCCCCCTTCTGTTTTTCTAAAGGCTGTATGTTCTCTTCCAACTCCCCAAGTATCTTATCCATGCTAGGGCTGTGGTACGCAGCTGAGACGCTTAAAACATGAAGAAAGATGTTTCTCTGTCTGAAGGCTTGAGCTAAATCTCTCTGGACAGCATCCATAAAGTAGGAATTCCCAGACAAGGTGCAGGAAATCGGGCTGTTGAAAGCGGCAATGCACACCTTTCCTGAGTAGGGATGCAGATATTCAACAATCTCTTCAACAGGGATGTTTCCAACCACCAGCATTCTGCCACTCTCAGTCTTTGACTGCAGCCTGCTCCGGTGATAAATCACTTTGACTGCATCTGCCAGGGAAAGGCACCCAGCAAAATGTGCAGCAGCAACTTCCCCTACTGAGTGGCCAACAACAGCGACTGGCTTAATACCCCAGTATTTCAGAAGGGCACCTAGGGCAACCTGCAGGGTAAAAAGCATGACCTGGAAAAGCTCTGGATCCAACAAATCCTTCGGGCTTTCACCTCTTGCTGGCAGGAAGCTAATGGGAGCATGTTTCTGAAAAAGCACTTCGATTTCCTTACACTTGTCTCTGAACACGGGCTCGGAGCTCAGCAACACCTCACTGAACTCCTTCAGTGTTACACCATTGCCACAGAACACAAACACCAGCTGTGGTTCCACCTTTGACATGGCAACTTCAGTGCTGGCTGCTGGCATAACCTGCTGCTGCAAGTGTTGGAGAGAATTTGTGACAAATGCTTTTCGGTACCTGTGGTTAGCATGGCTTCTTCTGCAGGCAGACGTATAGGCCAGGCTTGGGAGGGTTATGGAATTCCTTGTGCTCAGCTGGTCAGCTGTATCAGCCATTGTCATCTGAAGGGACTTACTTGATGCTGCTGACAGCAGAACTAATTCAAGAGGCCTCTTGAAGGCAGGAAGAGGCTCTAGCTTCTTTGCCTGCCTGACTACAACATGAGCATTGGTTCCTCCAAATCCAAAGCAGTTGATGGCAGCTACTCTTCCATACTCACCGGATTCTTCCCAGGGCTCTACAGTTGTGGGAATTTCTAGGTTTAATTTCTCTGTATCAATGCTGCTCATCTCCTTCGAGTAATGCAAGGATGGAACAAACTTTCCATGATGCATCATCAGAAGCACTTTGATTAATGCTGCTGCTCCAGCAGCTGATTCAGTGTGCCCAATATTTCCTTTCACTGAACCAATTTTCAAAATGGAAACCTGTGAAGACCTCTTTTTACTAATGACATTACCTAGGCTTTCAGCTTCAGTAGGATCTCCAGCAGCAGTTCCTGTACCATGTGCTTCAATATACTGCACAACTGAGGGATCAACATGAGTTTCATAAATTCTGCGCAGTAAATTCTCTTGCTGTATTTGAGATGGTCTTGTGATTGGTGTCACGAACCTACCATTCTGATTAATTGCACTGATGTTTATAACACCCCAGATTTTGCTGTAGTCTTCCTTTGCCTGTTTCATTAAAAAGGGAAAATAACCTTTAATAATCTTGTGCTTTCTCTGTATAGGAGAAAACAGAACAACAAAACCAAGAACAGACAAAGCATAATGCTAACTTTTAAATGTGTGATCCATTTCCCATAGTAGGGGAAGTACATAAATGCTTAATGCTTAATAAATGTTCCATTAATCTTAAGCTTGAATTGGAAAATCTTTTCTGGGAAAGTAATTTTAAGAGCAGGTGAGCAACCACTCTTATGTTACACTGCTTCACAAGCGGTCTTACCTTTTTCAGTGGTTTGAGGAAAAGAACACCACAGCCTTCTCCCCTTCCATAGCCATCTGCCTGTTTGGAGAAAGGTTTGCTTAGACCCTCTGGAGAGATCATTTTTGCTTTACTCAGAGACACAAAGGTGCGGGGATCTATTATGCAGTTCACTGCACCACAGATTGCTGCCTCACAATCTCCTGGAGTAAAATAGAAACATACTCATGTTGGGATGTCCAGAGTAAGAGACAGAAATAGTAGCAATCCTAATTTCACCGTCTAGCATCTCTTCAGTTCCATTACCTGATTTAATTGTTTGCAAGGCGTAGTGCAGAGCAAAAAGAAAAGATGAACATGCAGTGTCAATAGTCAGTGATGGTCCAGTCAGATTAAATGTGAATGACACCCTGTTAGCAATAATACTCATTGCTGATCCAGTACCATCATAATGATTCATTTCAGTCATTATTCTGCTTGTTATGACTTCATAGTCTCGATTCATAATTCCTGTAAAAATATCAAATACATGGCATATTAACCCAAGCGAGGAAAAGGGATGTACACTTCTAAAACTGATAGTGTGGTTTGAGTTTTTTTGTTTTAATAGCAAACTACATGGCATTAGTAGTGCTTCTATGGTGAAACTTTGCTTCAGCACAAGTCACAGGCAAACCTCTCAGCAATTTTTCCTGGACCCAACTTACATAAACATACCTAACACTTGAAATTGCTACCTGCACAGTAAATGACAAGCCTTTCCTGATGGTTTAGCTCATTGTATGATGCCGCTAAGCTCTTTGTAGCTTGTATCTCAGTTTGAGAGTGATTGTTTTGATTGAGCTATGGAAATTAAGAAGCTACAATGAGAACAGCTGGGATAGAAATACACAAGACATTAGTTTCAGTTCCTCACGTGTACCAAGTTAAAGGTCATAGCATAAGCTACATCTAACACTTTTATCTTTGGTTTGCTCGATGTGATCCAGTAAATAAGACAGAAATAGAAAAGAACAGGGCCTGTGAGAGAAGTTGTGTCCTCTTTCTGTGAATACATATGCTTGAAATATGGTGGATCCTCAAGACCATGGGCATGTGTAGAAAATGCAACATCTTTATTCAGAGAGCAAGGAATAGTCTTGTCTGTGAAAGAAGAGAATATCTCAGACTAAAAGGTAAAGAGTTTACCCTTATAGTTACATCAGGGTAACTTTCCCAGAAAACTCCTCTTAAAAGAGACACAGATTACACCAGGAAAAATGTGCTGTTATTCTAGCTCCTTTACCAAATAGCATAGCATAGTACAGCACAGCATAGCATAGTTCAGTTGAAAGTTACCTGCAATTATCGTGTAGTCCAACTGCCTGACCAATTTGCATCTCACCAAAAGTTAAAGCATATTATTAAGGGCATTGTTCAAATGTCTTTTAAACACTAACAAGCTTGGGTCATCAATCTTTCTGGGGAGCTTTTTCACTGTTTGACCACTCTGTAAATAAATGCTTCCTAATGTCAAATGCAAACCTCTCCTGACACAGCTTTGTATCATTGCCACGCTTCCTGTCATAGGGAGAAGGGAGCAGCATCTCCCTTTCCACTTCCTCCTCTCAGGAAGCTGTGGAGAGCAGAGTTCACCCTTCAATCTCCTATTCTCCCAACTAGACAGACCCAGGGGCCTTAGCCACTCCTCACATCACACGCCTTTCAGCCATTTCACCAGCTTTGTTGCTCTCCTGTATGCACCTCCTTTTTAAATCGTGGTGCCCAGAAACCACACACAGTACTCAAGGTGAAGCTGCACCAATGCTAAATACAGTGGGATAATCACCTCTTTTGACCAGCTGGTTATACTGTATTTAATTAATGCACCAGATCTCTTTCTGAAAAGCACTCCTTTCTCCAGCCTTTCTTCAGCCACTTCTCTCCCAGTTTATACTTGTGCCCAGTGCTACCCTGTCCCAAGTGCAGAATCTGGCATTTTTTTCTTGTTAAATTTCACGCCTTTGAGGATTCCACAATGCTCTAATATACCTAGATCCCTCTGCGAGGCCTCTTGTCCCCTAAGAGAGTCAACACTATCTCCCAATTTAGTATCACTGCAAACTTACTAATGGTGCATTCAACTCCTGCATCCAGACCATTGATAAACATAGTGAACAGAACTGGCCCTAGTATTGAGGAATGGGGAACACTGCTGGTGACTGGTTACCAGCCCTATGCAGCCACATTCACCACCATAACTTTTCAGCCCTGCCCTTCACCCAGTTCTTCACTGAGTACAGTGTACCCGGTCATCTACCAGTTGGACTTGTCCAGAATGCTGTGAGGGACAGTATCAAAAGCCTTACTAAAATCCAAGAAAACTACATCTTCCACTTTCCCTTCAACCACTAGGTAGGTGTCCTTACTTTAGAAGGATATCAGATTAAACAAAACTTTTCCTGTTGACTATGTCTGATGACTGCATTGTCCTTTAAATGTCCTTCAACAAAACCCATTATATTCTCCAGAACTGTTCCAGGTACTGAGGTAAGCAGCTGGACATATGCACCTTAGTAGCACACTAATATATACATGAGGATTTCTGATGATTTAAAAGGATCTTAACCCCCACAACACTTTAACAATGTTATACTGAAAAACAGTATACTGGAAAAAAGTTTAGGCCTGTCTTGAGAGTATCATTCCTGGAAAGGGTTGGGAAGGCAGTTTAGCTGTTTCCTGCTTCAGCCTCAGGGTATGAAGATGCTAAGAGAGGTATCTAAAATAGATACATGAATTATAATGAACTCCTAGAGTAACCTAGTAATTCCTGTGAAAAAATAATCAGCAGTGTCATAGAACAATAGCTTTAGATCTCCAGTGCTAGATACGTATGTAAAGTTTATGAAGGAGTGCTCTGATCTCTGTGAGGTTCAAACATACTTTATTCACTGTTAAATTTTCATCTTACCAACAAAAACACCTGTGTTGGTGCCACTGATAGCTTCTACAGGGACTCCTGCATCCTCCAAGGCTTTGAATGTGCATTCAATCAGTAACTTCTGTTGCGGATCCATGCGTTCAGCTTCCATATTATTAATCCCAAACAGGTGGTTGTCAAATGAATTAAATCTAAAATACACAGCCCATAAAATGATACACTATCTATGCAGTATGCCTCTACTTCTAGACAGAGAGTATACATTTTTTGCAATTTCATCTAAAGCAAAGAAGTAACTGGTGCAGTAGTACTATAGACAGTATGAATCATTTGAAAGGCTGGAGCCCAACTCAGATGCAGTATAAATACCCACTCATGCATAATACCTGTGTACTTTTGTAGACCGAAAAATGCAGACAGGCATGCACATGGCAGGTAACATCTCAACACATGGTGAGGATCTACATACATGCTGGATTATGTGATTTTTTTATTATGTAATCAAAGGTCATATGTGTTCACTACCGTGTACATATGTGCTTAACATGGACTGCAACTAAATTTGCTCATTGAAGTTCCACACCAAAAATTCTTGCAGTTTGACTGAACTGAATGTTCATCATGTTATATAAAAGAAAGACAGTTCCTAGGTCCCATTTATAAGCTCTCCTTGTGCCTTGCACCCTCTGAAAGACTGGGCATATCAGTCTAAGAACAAAAAAAGTCAGTGGCACAGCAGAATAACAGACTCACTCATTGAGAAGAGCAGCTCGTGTTGTACATATTTTTCCCGGCTTGTTTTCATCCGGATCATACCATTCTTCGACATTGAATCTCTCAGGGGGAATTTCTTCTGTGCAGTTTCTGCCTTCCTCTAGGACTTTCCAGAAATTGTCAATTCCATCACCTGTTGCAGAAAGGCTTTTAAGTAGGTTTAAGTCTGTGCTCCCCCACCCCATGCAGACTCAGAAACGCACACTCAGTTACAAGGAACTCCCACATATAAATCTAGGTTGCTCAAGTATAATCACCAGAGAAACAAATGATCATTCTTCAATGAAAGGAAAATGGAAAGGCATGACTGATCCCTTCACTGCTTGCCTAAAAGCAAAGGAACTTCACAAAATCCTTAACCTTCTGCTGTAGCCATTTCCATACCATGCCACTGCATCTACTACATGCATGCATCATGTCCTTAATGACCACATGGATATGATGAGGTCTTTCTGTACCTGTACAGCACCACTCCTCAAGCAGCTCCACTGACAGCAAAAGGTCACCTCTGCCTCTTTGAAAATAGACTGAGCTTACAAATACCAGGAAAATGCAAGAGGCATTACCCTTTGTAACCTAACACCAGAAGGGCATCTAAATCAAACATAAAAGTATGTGTATAATCAGTACTGAGGGAGCCAAAATACCCGACTACTGGATTGTGGACTACTACTTGTCCTTACTGGTTGAGATACAGAGCTCCAGGTCTAGGCACTCAGCCCTGAAACTAGCTAACATGGCATCCACACAGTGAACCATATTTCTCCTCCTCCCAGGTTCCACTTCCTCAGCATACAAAGCGGCCTCACCCACACTCACTCTGCAAACAGCCCCCTGCTTTTAGGCAAGCAGTGAAGAGATCAGTCCCCATGCTAACTAACCTGTGGCAAGCCCAATCACTGACTAGGAGAGCACTAACTGATGTGGGCCAGCACTAGGCTGGGGACTCTGCCAGCAGTCAGTAACAGTGATCACAGGACAGAATTCCCACCTAAGCCCTCCCACAGTTAGCCCTTCATCATAGGCACAGCCTCAGACACAGGGTAGTTTAGCAGCTCCCGTCACTCAATGGTTCTTTTGTGGCAAGCTTAGAAAAGCAGTTCTGAGCATGCACAGCACAGGATGAGAGCACATGTTCACATACTGCATGGCAAGATAATTAAGAACAATGGTTGTGAAAAGAGTCCTTTTACGTGTATGGCTGGACCAACAAGTGGCTTGCAGTAAGTTGGTAGTTAATGCTCAGGCAAGACACTGCTTCTACATATTTACTAGCACTTTAGTAGACTCAGAGCATTCACATTTGCTCACAACTAGCTATGGGAATCATAGTTCTCATTGTACCACATATACCTACTGAATCTTGGACAAAGTGAAGTCAGGAACTGAAATGTGGTGAGGACAAGAAAGAAAACAAGGAAAGGCAGAGATTAACATGGTCACCTTTAAGGCTGAATGCTGGTTTGAAAGGGCAAGGCTGTGTATTCCACTCCGTGGATTATTTCTGGATTTCTTAAATCCATATTTATCTAATGTAAGGAGCACAGTTTGACAGCAACAGACAGAACCTAGCAGCCTCTCACAGCTATCTAAATATTTCCACTCAACTAATCTCAAAATTAGTCGACTAATCCCATTAGTCAAATAATCTCACTAAATCAACTGCCACTTTTACAAGGACTAATATAAACTAAGATTGTAAACACAGAACTACTGTAACACAGTCTTTTATTATGGTAGGCAATACCAGTTTTCTTTATTGAAGTCAGCTTTCTATCTTGTACAACAGGCAGCATTTAGGTATGTATTTATAAAAAGGCAGAATTTGACCAGACACAGAGTTGATTTATCTAGCTCATCTGGGACCTTTCAAAGTTTATACTGTAATAAAGGAGGAAGCTTTCATTTAGGAAGACACAACCTATTCATATTACAGGCAGACCTGGTGATACTGACAGGCCCTCAATCTGTCCTGTCCCTATGGATGCATATTCCTGCAACAATGCACAATCATCTGGCCAGTGCACATGAAAAAGTTCAAATCATCCCAGGCCCATCCAGTTTGTTTGTATGAGTTACATATGTGCAGCTCAATGCCCTGCCCATCTACAGCACTACAGGTCTGTCTGTCAGTGGACAAACTTGAACCAATTATTTTCCACCACAGCAGGACCTTATAAAAAGATCAAGCAAGTAGCAAAGCAACAGATTCTACAGAAGTAAGGGAGGAATGTGTTGCTTTTCTCCATTTCAATGTTAATAAATGATTGTGCTTTTCAATATTCACTCAGCAGCCTGCTTTGTTTTCACCAAAACTCACCCCCAGGAAAGTTGCATCCTATTCCCACAATTGCAATTTCGTCTGCAGTCTCGATCTCCATCTTCTGGGCTGCAAAACGGAAGTATAAGTGTCAGACTTATAAGTGTCAGCTCAAACAGTTATGCATTTGTTGTTAAATAAATACTAGGTTAAAAGGTGAGCTTCCCACAAATGCACATACTTGCTCAAATATTGATTATTGTGAAATGATGTATTATTTGTTGTGATGAGAAATGACACTCCCCACAGGTAACCAGAGCTATGCTTTATTTTTCTTGTCTCTACTTTCAGAGGGAAAGCCCTTGCTAATTCCCAGGACTCCAGTTCACAGCCATTTCCTTTTACTGTTTAACCTCTATTATTCCTGCCACCTGCTGAGCTGCTCTTGAGCCTCTCCCTACATCAGTCCCACTTCACTTCTTCTTTACAGGATTGAACTGTGCATTGACCAAGGCACATTTCCAGCTCTATCATCTCCATCTTATTCACAAAGCAGATGTCCCAAACAGGCTCTGCAAATTACCAGTTAAAGTCGGACCACCTAAACAGGCAACAGACAACCGTAGAGCTGAAGCAACAAAAGGTGTGTCTTTCACAGCCTGGAAAAGTGCCTGGAAAGAAAACCCTTATTCAGAGCTCTGCTTTACTGGATCCTAAGGCTGCCTAGTTTTTGCCTAAGTCAGCTTCCTCTGTAGTCAGAGGTTAATCCCTATAAACCACACTTAGAGCCACCAACAGCTACAAGATCTCTTTCTTCCTAACAATGTGCAGTTTCCATGTAGCCCCACTATAGCCACATACAGCCTTTCAGTTCATTTGCAGCTTCACAGGGAAAGTTGTTTTTTTTTTTTTGTGAAGCAACTCAAAATGTGATTTTTTTTTTTCAACAAATTAGACTGTAAATTTAAAAAAAAAAAAAAATTGTTTGGGATCAAATTAAATACTTCAGTATAGAACTTAAAACTGATGGGTTGTTTTTTTTTTTTTAATTCTGGGAAGGGAGCTTGTCAGATAAAAATCAGTTCAATTCAATTAATTAGAACTTACTAGGATGCCCACCTCAGAACCCCTCAGTCTTCCTGGACTTGCTTCAAACTACAAAGAGGATTAGATTCATGTTGAAAGGGGTTTTTGGATAATCTTGGCAGTGGTGATAGATTCTCAGCTCATTGATACCGCAGCAGGTATTACAGTAGGCCCTTCTCAGTTATTGATTGACAGCAATGAAGCAGAGATGAGGCTGTTATACAGCCCCATACATCATTCATAGTTACTGTTTCTTGGAGGTTTGCTTTGAAACATGAAATTAAAAATGACTGCTCAGATTCATACTTTGAAAAATTTATTTCCTGTTTCCATTAGACAGAGAAAGTTAAAAGGCCACCCAGCAAAAATTGGGAGACTGGAATCTGACTTTCTATGAGTCAATCCTCTTTTACCATAATGCGAATTCTAAAATGCTAAAAAAATATTTTGTTTTTAGTTCTTTCAAAACTGTCTGTGATTTCTATGTTTTTGTCTATTTCATATTTTAATTTCATTGCAAACTTAAAGCTGTGAAGCCCAACATAGATATTTTTATCACAAAGGTACTTCTAAGCATTGTTCTTAAGTTAGCATTTAAACAGCATATAAAAGAAAAATAAGGACCTTCCAATTATAACATAAAATATATCTTTGGCATCTATTGAGTTATCCAGTGAGCTATGTAACTCTTACCTTATATCATCCCAGTATGGGGTACTAATAAGCTGAGTCTGTGGAAGCTACTTATATAGGATTCTGTGAGGATTCTTTTTCAAACACGCATGCTAAAACATGGTAAAAATGTTAACGCCTTTCAAAGGAAAAGAGCAAATGAGTCATGTGACTAGTCAGTGGCCCCGACTAAAGTTCGAAACCGCTTCCCTGAAGTAGTAAATTCTTGATGAAATCAGGATAAGAGTTCTGTCTTATCTAACTTACAGTTAACAAAACGATAAATTGCCACTATCATGCCATGAAATAGCCCATAAAAATCTTACACTCTTAAGAATATGATTTAAAATAAAGTCTTTAATAACTCAGTTTGGTTTGCTTTTAATATCAACAAATCTGAACCAGTGTTTAAAGCTTCATCTATTTTTTGGCATCACCATTTGTGAAAACGAAGCACAAACTCTCTATAAACTCAAAACCTGAGTTTCATGTTTGATTCAACAGCTGCATGCTTTTACTTTTTAGCAGGAACACAGAAATACGCAAACACACACAAAAAAACCTTGACAAAAGACAAATAGTCCCAAAATATTTCTGAGTCCACCAGGACACTGAAAACAATACTGAGCTTTCTTTCTAAAAACTGCTATCTTCTTAAAAGCAAAACAAACAGCAGAATATCCATAAGCGACCTCTGAACGTTACTCTGCTAGATGCCTTTTTAACTCTTTCAACCAGCCAAACTCACCTTTCCCTTAACTTTGTAATGGAAATACAGTGTTGGATGAGCCAGGAGAGTTCATATATAGTTAATGTTTTCCCTGGTCGTGGGACCCAACTCTTTCCAAGAGACAGCAAAAAACCACTGTGCTGAGAAGGAACAATTTAGAGTATCACTGCTTCATAACCTGCTCTGAAAAGTTCACATTCTGCTCTCCATTTCAAAACTGTAAATCTCAGTCACTCACTTTTCTGAATTCTGAGGTTATTAGGAGTTACCTAATGATTTCTCTAAATTAACCAGCTTTTCTGATGTAGTTACTAGGCTGATGAACAAGATGGCTAGTCTGAAGCTGATGTGAAAATCTCCATATTTTACAGATGTCTAAGAAGTACTCTTGTCAGTGCTGCATTAACACCCCCTAGCAGAGCAGAATGAGGATTCATCAGGTGAGCTTAGAATATGTTGTGGAACTTTCATTGCATTTTCACAAGTACCATCTAAAAGTGATAAATACTAAGCCATATTTTCAGGTATTGGTTAGGTACTGGAAAGAGTATTGAAATTAATCCTGCACAGCTGTGGACATTAATTTCAATGCAAGTTAAACTAATCTGAACATCAGTGACCCAAACGCGATCTGAACAATATGAACACCAGTGCAGTACTAAGAAAGTGCCGTTAATATCATTGGTTCATAAATGTAAGATTGGTTTATAGTTATAAGTGTATTGGCTGAGTGTTGATTACTTGCACTAGCCTCATCACAGCTGGAGTATATTCACTAACCCAAAGTAAAGCAACCATTGCTCAATCCTTCTGAGAAATGCCAGTAACAGAAATATGAACTAAGCATGGAAGCCATATAACAGTAACGGGTTGAGTCTACTATTATTGGCAGGAGCGGCCAATTTATAACTGAATTATAAGAAGTTGGTTTGTCATCAAGTTTCTTACAAAAGTCATCTCAATCTAGAAGTTAAAGGCTAAAAATGGAAACAAAACCTTGTGGCCAGGAGGGCCAATAGTAGCCTGAGGTGCATTGAGAGGAGTGTGGCCAGCAGGTAGAGGGATGATCAGGGGTCTGGAGTATCTCTCTCATGAAGGGAGATTGCGGGAGCTGGGCCTGTTTAGTCTGGAGAAGAGACGACTGAGAGGGGATCTCATTACTGCATATCAGTATCTCAAAGGCAGGTGCCAGGAGGATGGTGCCAGACTTTGCAGTGGTGCCCAGCAACAGGATGAGGAACAATGGCCATAAAAGACAACACAAGAAGTTTCACTTCAACATGAGGAAGAACTTCTCGATGTCGAGAGTGGCAGAGCTGCAAAGGATGGGCTGCGGTGTTTCCTTCCCTGGAGACATTCAAAACCTGCCCAGACATGTTCCTGTGTAACCTGCTTTAGGTGGCCCTGCCTTGGCATGGGGGTTGGACTGGATGATCTGCAGAGGTCCGTTCCAAGCCTAATAATTCTGTGATTCTGTGATATGGCAGGCACTACATTTGCTTAGTCATCCATGTCATTACAGTACCCACCTCTGAAACAAACTTTTGGGTTGTTCTATCCAAATCTATGTCTGATAATTCCAAATAAAATATCTGTGTATTTCGCCAGGTTTTCAAACAATTACATCTTGCCAAGATTCATGTATAGAGAAATAGCTACTCATTTGCCTAGTCTTCATTATTTCAACCAAGTTTTTCCTGTCTTCTGGTGGGGAAACATGCATAGAATCGTAGAATCATAGCATCATAGAACCATAGAATAGTTAGGGTTGGAAAGGACCTTAAGATCCTCTAGTTCCATCCCTCCTGCCACGGGCAGGGTCTCCTCACCCTAAACCATATCGCCCAAGGTTCTGTCCAGCCTGGCCTTGAGCACTGCCAGGGATGGAGCATTCACAACTTCCTTGGGCAGATTATCTATGAAGATATTAAACAACATTGGGCCCATCATTGATCCCTGGAAGACACCACCTGTGAAAGGTTGCCAGGAGCTATTTGCCACATCCTCTGCTTGCGGCCAGTCAGCCAGTTCCCACCCACCACACAGACCACTTGTCTATACCATAATGCATCAGTTTCTCTAGGAGGAGGCTGTACCTTAGCCTTCTCCCAGCCTTCTGGAATGTCCATCCATCTCCACAGCTTCTCAAAGATTGTGGAGAGCAGCCTCACAGGGACATCAGCAAGATCTTTGAACAACCTCAGGTGGAGAGTGTCAGGGCCCATTGATTTGTAGGGCTTACGCACCTATTCAGTTCACAGACCAACTCTTCCTTCACTGGTGCTGGGTCTGTGTTTGCATCAACCTGGATTTTTGTTCCCAAGGCCAACAGTGCTGGTAAAGACAGAGGTGAAGAAAGTGTTGAGAATTTTTGTCTTTTCAGCATTGTTGGTTTTGAGGCCAGTAGCAGATGAGTATTATAAGATCTTCCTTGGAGACAACTCCTCTGATCTTGACCCAGAGGCATTTGATAGGGTTTTCTCAATCATCATAGTTGACTTCTATACATTCAAAGTTCTCCTTAATATAGAGCACAACTCCTACTCCTCTTCTTCTTTGCCTATCTTTAAGAAAAAGCCTACTACCATCCATCACAATCCTCCAGTCATGGGAGTTGTCCCACTGTATTTCAGTTATTCCTACAGTATCGTAACTTTCTCATTCGGCACAGAGCTCCAATTCCTCCTGATTGCACCACATGCTTTGTGCAATATATACATTTGAAGTGCCTGGTCTCCTGGTTCTCATTTTGGGACACAGATAAGGAACATTTGTAGCTGCTCTGGTGGGCCTGGCTTATTCCCCAGTTGGTTGCAATGGTCTGAGCATTGCCGTTTTGGACCCTACCCCTCAGAGTCCTCTAGTTTAAAGCCTGCCTCACCAAGTTGGCCAGCCTGATGCCAAGGATTCCCTTGCCTATTCTAGACAGGTGGATCCTACCTCTCCCAGATAGGCTATAGTCATCAAAGAGTGTCCCATTGTCATAAAAGCCAAAACCCTCAAGACCCCAAAGACAGAAGTTGATTTGCATTATACATCTATTTCTGACTGTGCCTTTTCCTCTAACTGGTGAAATGGAACAAAAGATATCTTGGGCATTGGGCACCAATATTTTCCACTTGCACCTCCAGGGCCTTGTAGTGTTCCTTGATTCTGCCCAGGTTCCAGCTTGAGGTGTCATTTGTACCTACATGATAGAGTAGCACTGGATAGTTGTATATGCTCTTGCCAAGCTGTGGCACCCTTTCAGCAACATCTTGGACCTCATTCCCAGAAGGCAGCATAGCTCTCATGATTCCCTGCTCAGCTGGCAGGTGGGTACCTCAGTGCCCCTTAACAGTGTAACCCACTATGAGCAGTCATCATTTCCTACTGACATATCCAATGCCAGACAATGATTGAATAATTGCAGGATCCATACATAGAAGAGAAAAAGTACAGATTTCAGTATCACAAGGTGCAGCATATAGCAACAGCACCTAGTCATGCTTGGAAATATTTGACCCCATCCAGATTCTGGCCCAAGGGCATTTCCTACTTTCCAGTGGAAGACAGAGTCATATCCACTGCTGGTACAGTTTCTCCTTGCAGACTTTGGTCATGGGTGTCTACAGCTGTTAAAGCTTCATATCTGGTTGTAATGCTGGAGGGTGGGGACTGAAGTAAAGTACTGCTGTTGTGGATCACCTGTGACCAAGGTGCCTCATTCTGTGGTGTCTACCACAGAAACATGGTTCTGAAACCGCTTACCTATCTCTGTCTCAAACCCTGTAATACCACACACCCTTTTAACTGTTTCCTGCAACTTGGCCACCCGATGTAACAGATCCTCAACCTGTAAACACCTTGTGTAAGTACTTAAGTACTTACCTTTTCTACAGGAGAAGGGTCTGGACACTCACTGCAACCTACCATCTGTACACAAGTCTCCTTCCTTACCAGTTCTACCTAAGTGGAAGCACTAGGCATCTCAGGGGTTTTCTCT